TGGGTCATTGATACTAGCTTTTGTACCTGTTCTCCATGACCTAAGCTCTTCTGAAACTTCCTAAACTGCATCATAAAGATGACTTGTACCACATATTTGTACTATTAATCAAGGTAGTAGGTAAAGTTCACTTTGATACAGTGGTTACATAAATAAAATAGTCGTCTTATAAATTTAAAAGGTACTACCTCATGACTATACAGGAAAGAATGTTGGTGGGTGTGTTGCATGACTGATAATCTTAATGGAATTCCCATTGAATATTGATATTGTATTAAATGAAGTCCATTCCGATGGTCCAACAGGAAATCCTGGATGTGATTTGAATACTTGGTGACACACTTCGATGCTTAAAACTGAATCTATGGAACTGCTTGATGATGTTCATTTAGTAGCAATAAAACTGTTAATATTGAGAAGTGAATTCACATAAATGTATTATTTTCTAATCCATCCAATTACAATGATATTGTAATAACTGTTTAATAATGTTAATGTATATTGTGCATGCTGACAGAATTTAAGATGAATGAAAAGAAAGAAAGTATTCTGACTAAATTGTATATATTTGATTTATATTGAATGTGCATTTGTAAATTCAAAATAAAAAGCAATGAAATTTGTTTTTCCTATTGAGTAATGGTTGTCAATTTGAATGCATGGAGGAGGGGGCTCATCTCAATGGGCTTGTATAGTCGTGCATTAATACATCACACCACCCCGTCTCTTTCAAGGTGTGTACCCTAACATCTGGGTTGAGAGTTTGATCTTTGGGGTCAACTTGCTGGTGTTAGTCTCGGATTCGTATTGTATTTCGAATTCACGTTGCATTTGCTATAATTGTCACTTTCGTATTTGATAGAAAATTAAAAATTACTCACTGCCGATATTGTTAGTTAACAAACTTTATCTGCTACTGATCTTGATTCTGATTTCCTCAGTTACGACGGGCAGTTACGAAGTGCGAATTGTTTCGTGAAACTGAATCCGATTATTGGGTTAACTTCATATCCTCCAAATCATTTCCTGTTTTGTTCGGTTGTGTTGTGGAATTTATTTGTCCGTGTTTTTTGCTATATTTACCCGTCATAAGAATTCATCAGAATATTCAACTTTACAATTATGATGTGTCATTTGCAGTCATCAGAAAGACTTATTTGTATGAAGTGCTTGCATTTATTGACGGTCATCAATGATGAATATGTTCACGTCACATAGCTGACCGTGTTGTCGACCGTTAATGCGGCGAACTTTGCAGGCAAGTAGAGAATTCCGTCATCGCACTGTGACGCATGAACTGTGAAAACTGTGTAATGTCATATTAATAACTGATTATTATTATTATTATAGCAAAAAACATTTTAATAAAGCTTACTTTTCAGGAACAATCGCCTACTATTTCATACTACCTGTTCCGGGTCTCCACGCAAGACTACACCAAGACACCCTATGTGTGTGTGTACGCAGGGCTAACTATTACATTGTATATCGATTATGATTGTTCCAATATTTATTTACGTCTGTTAAAACATACTGTAGTATTTTCGGCTGAAATGTACGCACTTTTAAATCGTAGTTCAAGACGTGATAGTATAATTAAAAACTGTTGTGTCGATCAAGTTCATTATTTATGGAGGGGGCAAGGGGGGTAGCTGGTACAGTTTTACGGGAAATAAAAAGGGCTTTTTACAATTTACAAGGAAAAAAAGATGTTTTTACAGTGAAAATTTAATTTTGCAATGAATTGTGTCATCTAGTCGTTTCACAGTTTCGAAAATGTAATTTCCCTGGATTGTTCTTTACGTTTTTTTTAATTTGGATGTAAATATTTGTACGTACCGAGAAAAATGACACATTTTTACAGTGTACAATAAAAATATTTGATTGATTACGTTGTACGTCTAGCCTGTGATTACACAATGGGCCATTCCAGTTTATATCTGCACCCCACCCCCCCCCCCCCTGTTGATGAGCTTGTGTGTTTACTTCATACAGGGTATAATTTCCAAGGGTGTATAAGTCATTCAAAGTTTTATTTCCAAATCACCATTCACCATACAGTAATGGAAATCCAAAACTATAGTTCCTACTTATGGTGTTGATGAGTTCCTTTGTGCCACCATACAGAGTAGGATTTCCAAATATAACTGTCATATGCTAATTTACTATTTTTTAAAGTTCAAAATTTTATATTTTATAATGGAAATCCAAACTAGTCCTGATTCACGGTATTGATGAGCTCATTCGTGCCACCATCCTTATCTAATTTCAGTAATAACTATTTCATACTGGCCCAATTTGTTTACCATATACT